AGTTGATATGGCAGCATAACGTTACAAGCTTCTTCAAGTATTTTATGTATTTTAGAGTCGTGTTTAACCTTGAGCAATAGCAGTATATCTTTTTTTTTTTTTTTTATATTAGAGTGCTCTACCGTCCGGCTCCTTTATTAAGGGCACTACTATGGGCACTTAGCACTTGGGAGAAGGAAGGGATGAGGGGATGGGAGGCCTCACAATACTGGGAGGGGGTAGGGGGAAATTAGGCAATTTTGCTGCGAGAAGGTCGCCTAAAACCCTCCTCGAGGAGCATTGCGTGGTGAAAAAGCACATGTGAAAAATCACAGAGGTACTTGCCCGAAAATAAATACTTAAAAATAAAACGAAATCGACACATAAACAATTTTGTTGGTGAGGACCTATTTGAATATTTACAATATTTTTTAACCAAATTGGATTCATCAATTGGGTAAGACGTAAGACGTAATTAGAATTTTTCCAATTAATTTGAAAAAAAAAAAAAAAAAAAAAAAAAAAAAGAAAAAGAAATACGAAATTTTCAATTTAGATTCAGTGGATCGGATATAAATTACATATTGCTTCTCTCGATTCACGAAACACACATGAAAGAAATGAAAGAATCCGCATCACAATTTTCGTCTCATTTTTTTCTCGGACGTGAATAAATTATTTATTCACTAAAAATTTACATCACGTAGTCTTGTGTGATTAAAAATACATGGAAATTCAAATTTGTAAATAGCTGACTTCTAAGGGTTGCGAAAGTGGTATCATCAGTCGTGCGGAATATTTATGTTTTTTCATTACTAATTAATAGTAGTATTTCAATGCAATCGAGGGAAAGGATTATTTTTTAAATGAAAACTTCAGTATTTTACCAAAAAATCCGGAAACGTCCTTACATTTTCCAAATGACTCGAAAAATGAAATATTATTCCAAAACTGATTTTTTTCCGTGAAAAAGCAAAAAAAAAAAAAAAAAAAAAAAAAAAAAAAAAAAAAAAAAAAAAAAAAAAAAA